GGGCTGGCACTTTGAGGTTACCTGAGATACACTGTGTGTAAACGGAAAAAAATGTAAAATATTTATCAGTTGAGAGTATAACGATCAAACCTAGTCTAGTGATATTTCAACTAGAACAAAGAGTGACGATTAAGATCGTTTTTAGTGATTCATAGTCATACCATTGCATCACAAGAACTATCACTATGGTTATACACGTATCAGTATTCAACTATAAAAGGCAAATAATTGATTTGGAAAAGGGAAGACAAAATCATCGCTTAATTGGGGTAAAAAAAAAGTGGAAGTGCGAAGAAATTTCTTCAGGCATTTGCACATATAGTTTGATTGGTCAATGGATTAGTGTGTGTGTGTGTGCCGTGGATAACACACTATGGGATCGCGATAAGTGGATAAGAAAAAGCAAGATAAAAGTGCGAATTGGACACGATATGAAAGGTATAGGTCAAGAATGAATGAAACAGGTGTGAATGTGTGTGAGAGAGAAAAGTACAGTAAATGAGGAAAGGGTGGAGAATGGGAAAGGTGTCACATAGGGATATAGGACAATCACTTCTATGGCCATGGTAACAACAACGGTTGAACCAGCTTACGTTGTTTGCACAAAACCGGCTCAATGGCCCTAATTGCTATGGTTTCCACAGTTGACAGGATCTTATTTCGTAATACTTTGGTGTGAATATTAGTTGCAGTGAAGAACCCTGCAAATGATGTTCCTGCTTCAATTCCATGTCCACTGTCAACGAGATGTTGCAGGATCGAGCTGTCCATGCTTCTCGCTGTTCCTTTCGAAAGGCGGTAGGACAATGCTCAGATATTCTCTTGGACAAACATCTCGTTGTGTATCGGATACAGCAAACCCTAGAAGGGCACGTAAAGTGATATAGAACAAAAGATTGCAATGGGTGAGGCTTTCTTCGCGTTTCGATTTGGTTTCTTATGCACCAGTGGGAATATTTTGGGTTGCTCTCGTTTTCGGATCGGATATGGGATTGTACCAATAGTTGTTTGAAAGATTTTAAGTTTTATTTTGAGATTGTGAAAATTTCAGTAGCCTCGGTGGGATTTGAACCCACGCATGAACGCCCTCTAAGCCTTTTGCAGTGTACTTTCTACCAGCTGAGCCAACAGGCCACACCGGTAGCACTGATCTTTTCACATTCGAATCCAACTTACAGAGGTATATGACATCCATCAGTTAGCATGTTAGCTGACTGTTCCGACAGATTTTCCTTAGAATTCACCGGAGTCCACCGAATGAATGTCTGAAGCAAGGTTCATTGTGCAAATGGTTGTTTGGCAGATATGGGATTTTCACTGATCACACAATTGGTAAATCATCCGATCGCTGGGACTAATCGGGATATAGGGGTGTGTAGGGGTGAATGGGCCAACGGGGGGGATGTAAGCACCTGCAAAAATTGCTTTTTGGCTCACAGAGGTGGGGGGGGGGCGATTGTACAGAGGAATTTTTACCGCTTCCGATCACGACGGTGACCCCGATACAGGGAGTAGAAAGAAGATGTCAAACCACTGCACTAGTGAGTTCCTGTATTTAGCCATGCGGGGTGGTGTTCGCCAATTCGACCGGACAGGCGTCGAATCGAGCGGCGTATATAATTTGTTAGATAGGAACACGTAAATGAGTACACACAAAATGAGGCGGTAAAATCCGGCACTTCGTCCTTTAGCCGTAAACACAATTGACTGGGACGTGAACAAAACCTTGAGCTTTGCTGCGTAGAAGGTCTTACTAACAGCCCCAGACAGTCTCCTTTGTATGACCTCGGCTGTCGTATTCTCCTTGAACGGCAAGGAAATATAAACCGGCTTCTTTATTTTCTCGATCTTCTCAATATCTCCACTGTACTAAACCAATATGCGAACAAGTCTTTCCGGATAGCCACTGTATGCAAACATAGTACGTAGCAACCGGAGCTCTTTTTCTATTGTATCTTCACCACAAATCTTTCTGGCCATATTTGCTAGGCAGCGCACTAGATTCCTCTCTACGTCTCAAACAGTACAAAGTTACGAAAGTGAATGTATTTGTCCTTCTAAGTCCCCTCCTTTTTTCAGGATTTTGTGTTGAACACACACGGATACGTTCGAAAATGGGCACACCAATTAATCCATTTTGCTTTAAATATCTCAAGATCTTAGATAATGCATCCTCCATTTAAGCATTCTTGTCCTCTTTCGTTGTTTTGGTGAATTTTGACCTGCCACTCACTATAGCTTTCATCTGTTCTACATAATCCGTTCTGTTTAGAAGCACGATACCCGCTCCTTTGTTCGTTTTATCTTTTGGATGCTTTCAGACTGCTGTACGCCCCCCACGTCAGACTTGAGTACGGTAGTGCCGCGACGTACACCTGTACAGCCGGTGAACTGGATAAGTTGGAGCGTGTACAGCGTGCTTCCACTAGACTCGTTGAACTACGCGGGACCAACTATAAAGGTCGTTTACAGGCATCGGCGCTTCAGGGGAGATCTCATCAGCGTGAGGAAGATCCTCAGAGGTGATGTGGGCCCGAAGGTACGACAGCATTTCCCTTTACGTACAGAGGATCATACGCGGAGGCACTCTTTCACGTTGGGAAACTTCAGTCAGTTGGTCTTCCGTTAGTCTACCGACTGTCTTGGAGGTCAACAATGCTCTGGAATTCCATTCCGGCAACTGTGACTCAGCAGCTCGACGCTGCTTTCAAACGGCTTTTGGATGAGCACCTCAAGATGCTATGGAGGAACAAACACTTGTGATCGAACCTTCGACACAGTGGTGATGGGTCTTACACGGGTGTCCTTCCCTGTGCCGTCAATACTGAAGACTTTTATTCTGCTGCCATCTTAGTCGTTTCAGCTTCTCCGGTTCCCTTGATTTTACTTTCAATCACGGATGTTGATAGGATGCATTGAAAAAGGTGGATTTCAGCCTTTCCAACTCTAATGATGAAACGGGTAACATATAGGAGAGTTGCGCACATAGATTTTCACATTACACCACCAAACCAATTTCCTCAGGTTCGCCATTAGAACAACAAAACTTGGCTCCCTGGGACAATACTTCGAGCAGCAGTTTGCCCAGATTTACGGATGATATATTGTGAACTTACTACTCAGGGTTGACAGGAAGCTCACCCACAGGTTTGACATGGTTAAGTCGCTGAAGCAGCGTGGTTTAGATGCGTTCGACTTGCTTAGCCATGATCGGCTGGGTATAACCATAGAAGGAGTTTCTCTCAATCGGCAAACGATTATCCAACACGCATGCGGAAGTCACATAATTCCGTTCGAAATCGAAAAGATGATTACACAACGTAGCACGCTCATTTGAAGAGTTGCCCTGGTTATGTTCACACCATTTCTCCTTAATACTGTCCAATACTGTTTCGGACTGAGTTCCAGCTTGTCAGAGCTAGTTTCGCAAGGAACTTAACACACTTTTTGGGTCATTGAAATACGAGAAGAAGTTTGGCTTGCTTCAATTGTCTAAACAGTCCCTCACTACACACTGCACCATGTCCAAGTATGAGGGAAATCCATGCATGCTCCATACCTAAGGATTGAACCTACGTGGTTGAGATAGGGCTGGAGTACGAACAAACATATATGGTATTCTCTCTCAATATAATTTCGACAAAATCTAGGTTTCATCAAATATCACAGAAAATCCCTGTGTCGGTCTGCTAAGCATTTGTTGTGCGGTTAAAAATGGCCATTTTTGCCCACCGGATATTTAGCTCAGTGTGATATCGTATGTATCTACATTGGCTGCAAATATTCCATGTCAATGGTGTGCAATGTGATGCTCCTCGAAAAAAAACAACTCCGTTGGAACGGAACGGAAAACACTTGAACCCATCAATTTGGCAATTTTATTTTTCTGAATTTACTTGGAAAACATCATAATGTATGGTGCGTTACCAAGCGACTGAACATGAAGCCCGTTCTTCTTCTTCTGTGCATATATTTGTGAAACAAAGGTGCGGATGAGTGTTTTTTCGCAATAGCTAATCACGGATTTCTCTTGTTCGCCTGTTGGGAAGTGTACGGAAATATTCGTGATGGAAAGTCGTTCAAAACATGGTTTCAGAAAGTACAAAAATCTGAGGCTCAATTCCATTTGTAGTTAAACATACTTAGCTATCCACATATGACCAACTATTTCGAAACAGAGCGCAACTCGTTCTACATGACGTTGTGCGTTTGTTCTATAGTGATTGAACACAAGCTTGCTTGATAAATCAGCTTTTGGCTATAATAAAGTTATCCACGACAAAATACCTGAACTTCCCTGACTGATGGGCAAGTTTTGATCACTGACTTTGGTTAAAAAAGAAAATTTATCTTTAACCACTTACTTTTTAGCAGATCATAATGAATTTATTCGTATTTATATATATCTACCGACTGCATGCTCTAAGGGACTGTCACATCAGTTTGTCGAATCTGTCCAGTTGAATGACGGTCGAAACCTGAACCTCGCGGATAGAACGTAGGCGCATTTGTCCATTAGTGTAGTACAACTCAGCTTTGTGATCTCCTTGCCAGCCAGTATCTACCGGTGTTTATCTTGGGGCTCTATTGAAAATATTCTGAACTTGGCTGATTTCTCTATGAGGTTCAGCTGGAGATATTGGGATCAACTACCACTAGTTGATTGTGCCCATTTTCTACTCGTGAGGTTCCTGGAGTCGACGGATTCACCTATTGATGATGACGGTGATAATTTGGGTGATTCAGATGATGGTGGTGATGATCATTTGAATTATGCTGCTTCTGCTTCTGCTGCTACTGATGCTTCTGATGCTGCTGCTGCTGCTGCTGCTGACGATGATGAAAACCAACATGGTCGAAATAGTTCTGTCATACATTTCAGTTTTTCATATTACTGTCCCATTGCTCTGTATAGGCTTAGATTTAGAACACAGTCAGTTAAAAGTGTCCACGTATGATGATTATTTCTCTACTTTTAGCTATGCACTGCTTTGATTGTGGTCGGGTCGGCTTTTCCATAAAAACATCTTCAACATTGTCTTGAATGTTCATGGTATTTAGTTTATTTTTACTTACTAGTCGTTACTAGTGACCAAAAACGAGTGTTTATGGGAATCTTACTCAGAGGGTCACTTTGGACTGTCCACGGAAGACAGTACCAAGCGTTTTAACTTTACGATATATCAAGTATCACGTGAGTCATTATTATTCATTGTTTATTCAAAAATAAATACTCATTCAAAATATCGCATGGTTTATATAAGTTTTGTAAAATATGTATGCTTGATTTGTTTCCAGTCTGTCAGTTTTCAGCCATGTTCCATTTAGCGCCAGCGGCAAATTGTGGCATAACCGGAAGCATCCAAGTCAGTTCGATGCAACAGGACAAGGAAATCAAAATTTTTCCTAACATAATGCATTCTTTTTATGGAGCGTATATCTCCCGCTTGTTTCCCGCTCAGTTAGGTCAGCCACTGGCGTCCGACCGAAGAAAACGAATACATGTGTTTAAAAATTTCAAAAAACGTCTCAAGCACAAATAAAATCCACGACTATTGCTTAGGTAGCAGTGGAACCGTTTTCGATTATCCCCAAAAAAACGTATTGAACACAGGTAAAAGTAGTTTGGTTTGACATGGGGAGCGAGTTTCTGCTTTGGGTAGTACCAAATCACCCACTATTTATCAGGTTTGGGGATATAGAAGCACATTTCTGTCTAGTCAGGATGGATAGCATTTGTGGGACATTATTTCGTGACATAAAGGGTAGGCTTTCCACATCGTTTTACAATATAGGATATTCTGGCACCGTTCAAGTGGGACAAGACATCTTCAATCGAAGCAGGAACATCTTCAACTGATACTGAGACTCGTTGAATTTATGATGGGATATCTCAATTTGTGTAAGGTACCTCCACCTTCGATTCATCCGGATCAGATCTGTAAAGTGGCCACAGTAGCACCTGCATAAGGGGAATCGGCTTGCCAATACCACACACGCAAATGGACTGACGTATAGTTGCGTTGTCGTCACTGAGGAATGCTTTAGTGGTAGTGTGCTAAACAACGCTAAGAGGCTCACTGGACATCTATAGTTCCATATTCTAATTGTTCACATCATTTCAGAAACATTTTTCTGAACATGTCCTCGAAGACCACGATTTAATGGGGAAAAGGCTAATGCAACTTTGGATGAGGTTATTCCATTTTTCAGAGGCTCCAGCAACTCTTAATGGTCTTGAGTGTGGGTTTCACTCATTGGGAGATCGTTGATTCCTCACTAGTTGAAGTCATTTAAATGCGATGGAAATATTTGTTATAACGTACGAAGCGCACTGGACAGCTTTTTCGCCCTGTTTGGGACTCGTCAGCACGACCCGATGATCATCGACCCTGTAGAGGTAAGGGTAAGGTAGTCCCGTCCGAAAGTCCGCGGTTCGAGTTCTGACAGGGACACAAAATGTATGCAACGCTGAGAAGTCCCAAACGGGACGAAATAACTGCCCAGTGCTCTTTGTCAATCATCATAAACATTTTCACCGCATTTAAAGTGCCTATGAACTGATTTCAGCAACAAAACAGTGCAAACACTGACTGAGTGATTAGTTACAACGGATGAACGGGGCCCAATTAGACCAGGGAACCCTACTTAGACGTTCTGGATGTTCCGGATGTTCCGGAATGGCCTCACTCTCTGGATTTTTCTTCCTTGGGCGTTGTAATAATTTCCCTTTGTGATCATCACGTGATATCAAAAGAACAGGTTCGTGTTGTGTGCGTTGTAACAACCACGATTGCTTGTCAGAGCTTCAAAACAAATCTGATTGCTTTCGCTCCAGTGGAGGTAGTTTCTTTAGATAGAAATTACGAACTTTCAGCCAGAAATACGGGGACCATAGGGGAGAAGGTGGAAATGTTTGGAGAGTACAGTATGTTCGGATATTGAAGACATTTCAAAAGTTCTTCTGGAATAAAGCTTTGGATAATTCCAACCACGAAAGAGAATGAAAGCTTTAGGATTTTCGAACAAGGCCAGCATTTTTATTCCCATATACTTATGTTCACTGCTCAGTCGGTATTACAGCGTGCAGTTTATTCATTTACAAATTACCATAGAGATTTTTTCGACTTTATGATGAATCTCCATTAGCAGCGTATGCTTCTGTAGAAGTAGAATAGAAACGAGACATTATAAATGGTCATTGATTCTATAAGAAAGGCAGTTCACCGTCGCCCACCCACTTGAGAAAAACAAGTTAGAACGGGATGAGCGACAAAAAAGTATTCAAAATTTCACAAATAACTGTAACAAATTTGTTTTCCTGGATGCTGTCCGCTTATTTTATATTGTTCTGTACCGTTTAGTGGGAATGTTTCAATTAGTAGTAGTAGCGGTGATATTGTTGAGGTTATAAATTTAGTCAACCTAGAAAAATGAACCTATTACGGTAGCAAAAGACGCTCTATCGTGGTGCAAAGTGTTACTCACTACTAATACATAATAATATCTTTTTAATCCCTTTTTATTTATCGAATATACAAATGTACAGTCAGCTTTCAGGAGGGGGCTGCAGGCATAAGAAGGCTGTCAGGGGAAATACAGAAATAGGGAAGACGAGTGGCGGTGGAGCGGTTCGAACCTGGGACGTCCGGGTCGAAACATGGTGAAATAACCACTTTGCGATCACCGCCCATTATACGTTGCGCAGCAACAGCATCAACTCTCTCCGCAAGTCTATCCTTTCTCGTTTTCACTTTTTGCACATTGATTGACCTGTACGCTTCTCGCTGTCTCCCTCTCACTGTGTTCTAGAGATCGCTTCAACACAACCGTCGTTGAGGTTTCGTGATATCCGTCGTTTTCTATTTGGTTCTTGCCTTCGTCGGTTGTTCGGCGTGCATAGTCGTGGACATCATTAGTCTAGACACTAAAATGGTGACTAACGTTGCTTAAACGGAATAATAATAATAATAAATAAATAACTATGAATGTTAAAATGTTACTAACACAGCAATGTCGGTGTTATAATTACACAAGGCGGTGATCGGTCGAGGACAGTTGTTTGATGAGGATTACAGATGGATATCTCTATCTACTTCGGCATACACAACATAGGAATCTCATCAGAAACATACCATCGCAGTTCCTGACCACACAACGAGTAATCAGTGCCGAAGTCGATAGTTATTCTTTGCGATACAGCAATTTGCCCTCGGTGGTCTTCCTAATTTTTGATCGTCCAAAGGAATAAAGAACTATTTTCCGTACTACATACAAATGTGCGTAGTACCTCACAATATTGGTAGAGAATTTATTCGTCGACGTTTCGGTTACCGTCGGTAACCCTTCTCAAGGCAGGTTTACAATCAAGTGACTCGGAAGAGAGGATCACAAGTCCACGGATATTTCATCGTGTGTGCGTGCGTGTGTCTTTGTGTTTTATGTGTGTGTGGTGGGCTGATTATTCGTTGTCTATCATACTAACTCCCATTATCAGAGAGGGTCAAGTGGCACCTTGACCTTTATCGTGATTACGCATTAGGGATGTTAGGGTAGTCCAATTGCTCGGGGTCTCGATTCCGTCAATTTTGTTGCCACACGCAGAGTGAGTGTTAGTGGCCAAAGCTTCGGGATACAAGCGTTTGGTGCATGTTCGAAATCCGAGTTGGAGTATTTTCAGGTTGAAGCAGTCTATGATGTAACCTTCGACCAGCGATCGCTGAGTCTCGTTCTATTTTTGCCAGAGTTGTTTTGTCCGTAGGTCGANNNNAGGTCGATGTTTTTCTTTTGTCTTATGTTCGGTTATCCTTGTCTTAATAAATTGGGCAAACCAGTAGACAATGAATCATTTAGCCCAACACAGACACACATGATGAAATACCCGTTGACTTGTGATCCTTTCCTCTGAGTCATTTGATTGTACAACCTGCCGTGAGAAAGTTTATCCGCGGTAACCGAAACCGACATCGCTGTGTTATTAACATGACCTTCACAATAAAACAACACATGGCACATCGATTTTTCGATACACCCCTTACCTTATTTTGATGTGTTAAAAATGATAACTTTTATTGTCTCATGTGGTATTCGTTTGACCGACGTATCTTAGGTGGTATTTTTAGTAATTTACAAGTTTAAAACCCGGTGACTGCGATACGCTCAACAAGCCATGCCAGTGGTGAGAACCAATTCTTTTGACGGCTAGGATGATTTCCAGTCCAGTCTTTTCAACAGTGAACGGTCTAAATGAATCAGTTGTTATTGTTATCATTATTCTGATAATTTCCGTAGGCCTAAAGCAAAAACGCACCAAAAAAAGACGTACCAGTTAAACAGAGTAGAAAAACGATTTAGATCCCAAAACTGTTAACAAAGTCTGTGAAGAAGAATGAAGATTAATACTGACAAAAACCCCAGGTATTTAATACAACTTACCAGGGATATGGTTTAAGAACCAATCGATACCGGGTAAGGTGAAAAAAAGAAAGTGACAATGTAAGGAGACATTCGAAACATTTGGGTGTAGGGGGGGGGTTAAGAGAGAGACCGAATGTGGCGGAAGATTCCTAATGTTTTCCAAGTTGTCGGAAAATTGTGAAAGATTAGAAAAATTGGAGATGATCTGACAAAAAATCACATGGTCGGCTTATTTGAAGAGAAAAGTAAAAGTATTAGCGGACACGTCACTAACATACGTAGAAAATAAGTATTGGGAAAGAATGGCACCTTGAAGTAACACAGAATTGTTCATTACTGGTCTGGATATCTTCCGATCTAACCTGGTGCATTCAGGTCTCCCGGAGAATTAATCGGCAAACCAAGCTAATAACTGTCTAAGACAACCGAAGGTCTCCAGTTCACGAAAAAGAAGGAGATGAGGAATAGAATCAACAGCAGAGGAGTAGTCCAGAAACACACACCGAATAGAATCCGTAAAGTCATTCAAGGATTTGGTAGTGAAATGTCCAAGTGAGGAAACTGCATCAGGTGTTCAT